CAAATCTCCAAAACTCTATTACTGTTCTCTCCTTTCACAGATTCTTAATTGTGATACGATTATGCCTGTAAAACAAAAGAAGATAAGTGAAATTTAAATGGCGTCAGGAGGGAGTAAAGTTATAAGCACATGTGTTTCATTAGTCATCTTTAACATACTTAAGGAGACCTGGAGGATTAGTACTGGACTGCGAACCACAAGGTTGGCAGTTCAAACCCACCAGCTGCTCCTTGGAAAACCCTTATGCAAGGTCACTATGAGTCAGAACTGACTGGACATAACAACAACAATAATATTTAAAAGAGGATTAACATAATCAATTTGAGTTTCAGGATAACTAGTATCTATTTCCATTTACTTGTTGTTCTTTTTATTCCCAATTACTTTCTCATCCAAGTTCCTTAACACATATATCACACATTTTGGGGTACCTTCCTCTCATAATCTGATACTTAATATTTTTTATGTTACTGTCTAAATATTAGGACAATATAGTACATTTATCACACAATCCAAGGTGTTTGTGACTTGGTCAGTGAACAGGAAAAACAAATTCAGCCTAACTTATAAACCAAACCCATTGCCATTTAGTTGATTCTGACTCAGTGACCCTTTATATGGTTTCAGAGACTGTCAGTCTTTATGGGAGCAGATAGCCTCATACTTCTTTCATAGAGCAGCTGGGGTGGGTTTGAACTTCAACCTTGAAGTTAACAGTCCAGGGCTTTACCTACAGTGCCACCAGTGCTCCTTAACTAGTAAAAAGATGGAGATGGTGGCAGGGAATTACATTAAAATACTAATAAGAAACCTTATATTGCTTTTGAAATTTAGAGAATTTAAAAAATAAAAACAAAACCAAAAAGCCTTGTTGATTTTGACTGTGAGAATGAAGATTTTATGGATTTAAGTGAAGAGTTAGGATGTACTTTATAGCTTTATTGTGATAGATTTGAAAACTTTCTAGTAATAAACAGTTTATGTAATTTTTACTTTCATTCATCCACTGAGCCATTAAAGAAGACTAGTAATGGTATGGAAAGATGTACTTTAAAGCTAAGGAGCTCTGATAATGCAGTGGTTACGAGTCAGGCTGCTCACCTCAAGGTCAGCAGTTCAAAACTACCAGCTGTTCCACGAGAGAAAGATGAGGCTTTCTGCTCTCATAAAGATTTGTTGTTGTTAAGTGCCGTTGAGTCAGTTCCAACCCATAGCGACCCTGTACAGGGTTTCTGAGGCTGTAAATCTTTATGGGAGCAGAAAGCCTCATATTTCTTCCGCAGAACAGCTGGTAGTTTCGAACTGCTGACTGTGAGGTTCGCAGCCTGATTCGCAACCTTTATGCTACCAGAGCTCCTTCAGCCTTGGAAACCCTATGACTCATAACAGGGTCACTGTGAGTCGTAACAGATTCCCTGGCACACCACCAACCAGCATGTTATAAAAGTTGGGTCTGTTAATGCCTTAAAAAAAACACCTAGAAAATCTAAAAACAAAAATAGCTCTGGTTGGTAGGAATAGAAGTGATTTTATTTCCTTTTTGTGTATTTGTATTTTACAAACTTGTAATGAAAGGAAGAAGTCATTGTAGTAGAATGATCAGGATAGAAAAGAGAATGTTTATTTAGTAACTTGGTTAGATTTATCCTAGAGAAGACTCAGCAAAGTGACATAATAATTGCTTCAAATATTAGAAGAACTTTTGTGTGGAAGTGAGATGAGATACTCCGAATAGCCTTAACTTTGGTTCTTACACTTCAGTATTTTTGTTAGGTGCTATTGAGTTGGTACCAACTCATGATCATTGCTATGCTTGATCCCATTGCTGCTGCCACTGTGCTAATCCGTCTCCCTGGGGGTCTTCCTCTTGTTCACTGACCCTCTGCTCTACCAGCCATGATGTACATACATCTCCAGGGACTGGTCCCTCCTGATTACATGTCCGAAGTACGAGAGACAAAGTCTGGCCATCCTAGCTTCTGAGGAGCATTCTGGCTGTACTTCTTCCAACACCAATTTGTTCTTTTGGCAGTCCACAGTACTTTTAATATTCTTCTCCAACACCGTAACTCAAATGCATCAATTCTTCTACACTCTTCTGTATTCATTGTTCAACTTTCACATGCATATCTTTTTTGTTTTTTTAAATGTGACTTGGATTTCTCTTAGCTCTTTGTTGATGTATTACTGCAACCATTTCATTTTTTTTTCCTCCCTAAAGCTTTCATTGTGAATTGAGTGAAGGTCTACAGGGCAGATAACCAGTTTTATATTCAGTCAATCACTGCAATTCTTACAACCCCCTCCATGTACTATCAGCGAACAGTATTTACCTCTGTTACCCTTTTTTTTTTTTTTTTTTGCTGTACACATACCACATTGAAAATATATATTTGTTTAAATGTTCAAAGGACACATTTTGCAGATCAGCCTCCTGCCCACAGGCTCACTGCCTCCCTCAGTCCTTGGGCCTATGGTCCTCTGCTGCTGCATCTCCCTGCGCCATCACCTCTGCCACCATCTTTGTTGTCACTGCTTTTGTGGTTAGGACCCCTCCCAGTTCTCATGCTCTGGAAGGTACATGCATATACTTTTAAAACACGTATCCTTTGTGACTCAAATGCAGGTAGTCCATGGACCACATCTTGAGAGCCACTCCTTAAAAAGTAGTATTATAAGAGTCATAGTTAGTGGTCTAATGTACTCTGGTAGCATAGTGGATTGTAAACTGTGTTACTAACAAGGCCAGCAGTTTGAATTCACAAGCTGTTCCGCAGGAGAAAGATGAGACTTATTGTTCCTGTAAAGATTTACAGCCACTATAAAACCCTATACAGGGTCACTGTGAGTCAGAACCGATCAGATGGTATACAACACCAACCATCAATAGTTAGTGGCCAGAAAGAAAGTGATGAATAAGGGAGGATGGCAGAATTGCCAAAGATGGAAGCTCATTAACCTCTGCCCAAAACTGCCTTTTAGAGGAATCTTTACAGATCCCTTCTCGCAATCTTTATAGCCAAACTTAACTACCTGCTTACCGTCTGCACTGGTAGCGTAGTGGGTACAAATTGGGCTGCTAATCTTACGGTCAGCAGTTCGAAACTACCAGCTGTTCCACGGGAGAAAGATGAGGCTTTCTATTTCCGTAAAGATTTACAGCCTCAGAAACCCTGTACAGGGTCACTATGAGTTAGAACCGACTCCTTGGCACATAACAACAACAACCATCTGCAAATTCAGACGTCTGTTACCTCCCAAACCACTCAAAACCTTTTTCTTACTGCTTGAGTTGTCTATTCAGTGGTCATTTTCTAGTACCAGTTCTCAGCTAAGCATGAAACATCTGGATCATCTTTGATTTCTCTCTCACCTCCTTCAACCAAAAAGTCCACCTTGGTCTGCGTCTTGATTTTTATTATATCTCTTCTTTCATTGTTGTCCATACTGCTACTACTACTGCTCTCTTCTTAACCTTTATTATTTTACTTGACCTATTATATGTGCTTTCCTGATTGATATACAAAATATATACTATATAAAATAATAACTTGTGATTAGTCATTTCTAGTTTCTTCTCTTTCTAAAATAAGTATCCTTTTATACTGCCACTAAAATGATGCATATAAAATGCAAACTTCACCATACTATTCAGGAATTCATTTTAACTCATGATCTTCATGATTAGTCCATCGAGCCCCTACCTCAAATGATTCTCTTGTCTAATCTCACTCTGTTTCTTGCATTATAAAGTAACATACTTATGTGCTCTACTAGTACCGAGTTGGTTGACGTCCTTCTGCCTCATAGACCCATGCTGTTTTTTTTGCTAGTGCAGAATTCCTAAGTGGCACGGCAATTATGTGTTTGACTACTAGCTGAAAGGTTGGCAGTGCAAACCTACCCATCAGCTCCTCAGGAAATACATGATATGCTTCCAAAAGGTCACAGCCTTGAAAATCTTATGAGTAGTTCCACTTGCACATGAAATAGAATTGGTTCCGTGGCAACCAACAATAACAACAACTCTGCCTAAAATTCAACCCCTCTTCCCTGCAAGTTATAACATACCTAATTTGTATTCTTTGTTTTAAATTCATAGTCTTCCCTGGTGACCTAATCAGATTGAGTTAGTAGTTTTCCTCCATGTGCCTATTTTCTCTGAGCAAACTTTATTAACACTGAAGAGTAGTTACTTTTGTTGAGCTTTCCCATTCCTTTACCTCTCCCCACAGTGATTTCCTTGGGGGTAGGGACCCATAGGCTTCTTATTTCTGTAGTTTCAGTTCATTGTCCTGACATGTTTGTTGTAGTTGTGTGCTGTTGAGTTAGATTCCCACTCTAACCAAACTTTCTCATTAAGGAGAAAGCATATTTGTAATTAGTTTAAAAAAGAAAACTCTGCTTCATAGTGAGGTGTATGTTCAGTGTACACTTGATAGGGCAGGTTTGACCAAGTTGTAGTCAGTAATCAAATAATTATATTTAGAATATGGCTTTTTTAGCACATAATATCTTCAGATATTCTGAAGACTTTATGTTTTTCAACGCTAGCATATCTTTTGGCCTTGGGTAAATAATTGAAGGTGCTTGGACAGTAGTTGTTTCTGTCCCTAAAGTAAAGATAATCATAATGGCTTAGTCTTTTATAGGATTTCTTTGTAGAGCAAATTGAATGTAAAGTTGGTGGGAAAATGTAAAGCAGCACCATACAAATAAAGTGACAACTTGATGTTCAAAGGCCAGCAAAACAAAATAAAACATGTTACATATTTTGGTAATACATTAAAATAGTTGTATTGAGGAGGTGGCTGAGAAGAGGGGGCATTTTAGGCTTTTTTTAAAAAGAATGTTCAGTATTATTAATATTGTGCCTTTCACATTAATTAAATGCTTGTCTTATAGAAAGTTCAACTGTTTGCTGCTAAAAAGTTATTTCCTATTGGGTATGAGTACACAAGAAGAAATCTCTGTTCATTTTTTTTCTATCAACGCTGTAGGTCTCTATGCCAGCAGCTCATGCAACGTCATCTGCTCCCACAGTAACGTTAGTACAGCTGCCCAATGGTCAAACAGTTCAAGTCCATGGAGTCATTCAGGCAGCCCAGCCATCAGTTATTCAGTCTCCACAGGTCCAAACAGTTCAGGTATGTATATAAAAGGTTTTGTGTCTCCTTTAATAACTGTTTATAGCCCCATCTCTTTTCTTTTTATTGTTATGAAAATAGCAACACAACTAGTAAAGTTAATTTTATTTCACAGTCAAGGAATATGCTGTGTCTATATAGGAACAATATGTATATTAAAACAGACATATAAGAAAAAATACCAATAAGTCTCAGAAGAAAAAGAACATATTGGAATAAATAATTAAGTACATGGGATAAAGTTGAAATGTTTGGGAAACACTGTCTGATGGAGAGACTAGACAACTAGTTAGAAATAGGGCTTTGAACTAGTTGGAAATGCTTCAGTTATGACCCATGGAAACAAGACAGCATGTATGATGCTAGCAGCGAAATCCCTTGCAGTTTAGATTTTGTCCTGAATAGGAAACAGGCATCTTTGACCCACTCAAAGATAGTGATTGACCAACACACACACACATTCAGTGTAACTCAGTTAGCCTCCATCTTTGAGGCTATTTCCTACTCAGGACAAAAATGCAACGCATACACAGCCTTTGTTTACGTGGGCCATGTCTGAACAACGTTTCCAACCAGTTCGAAGCCCAGGCTAGAAATAAAAGAAAGAAAAAATGTTTTGAAGCAGCTACCATTTGCTACTTTAGTACATATACTTCAGTTAAGGAAAATTAATATACAAAAATAATAACTTGTGGCTATTTTTTTAACTTGCAATTGGGGTAAAAACCCTCATCAAAAATTAATAAGCTTACTTAAAGTATTATTTGAACTTAGAGGTAATTTAAACTATTTATGTGCTTAGGGATTTTTAATTTAAATTAATATGAAATAATGCTATATTCATAAGATGACTTTTAAGGGCCAGGAATTATACTATGCATACTACCCTATTTTTTTGGAAAAATTGTATTTCTTTGTATTGGATCCAAAGAGAAGAAAGGCACGATTGACCTCTGAAGATGACTACTTAACTGTATCAAACTGAGAGCAGTACAGATCTTTGCAGTTAATTTTTTTTTAAAAAAAGACTTGAACATTCATTTAAGTAGGCTATAACCCCAGCCTCCCATTTCATATTTTTTGCTTCACAGTCTTCCTGTAAGGACTTAAAAAGACTTTTCTCCGGAACTCAGGTGAGTCCTAGGTACTAGATTTGGAGAAAGCAATTATTAGAAAGAAAGATGAGAATGTGTTCTTTGTCTTTGTCCTTCTCTATAAACTCGGGCTTCAAACCATTTCAGTCATTGTAATTAGTTAAGCAGTACAATCAGTACAGATCCAAATTTGTAAATTGTGAGTGTGCCAGAGCTATAACTGGAACAAGAAAAACTACAGATCAAAAACTTGGAATGGGAGACTTGGAAGAGGTACAGTGAGCCCTTTCAGGAGCCTGACGTGGGAGATTGGACTATTGCCAAGACTGTGGAAAGTGACACACATTCAAAGTTGACTGCCATCTTTGAACTGGATACCATTGTTTCTGACTCTGTCAGTCAAGAGATTTTTGTGGTTACGCAATATGTACCCTGTCCTTGTTTTCTAAGCAGGAGATTACGTTTCTAGCAGGCTTTTGGCCCTAATTTTTCCTGGTCCAGTACACCTACATTTCATAAATTTGGATCTGCCCTGGTTTTATTTCGTCAACCAGGACTGAACCAGAAAGAACCAATTTGAAGCCCTGCCATAAGCATAAAATTCAGCATTGAAATGAAAACCTTATAGCTCTCTGGGTCTAGGCCATACTTGTTACTTACCCATCCTCAGTCTGTTGCCTAATTCTCTTATATAACATTTTTCCCTCCCTTGAGTGGTAGTCTAGCATTACTTTTAACATAGGGAAAGGAAGTTCTAGCTACTTGAGATACCTTATTTGCAATTAAGATTGATGGCTAAAATAGTCTTCTTTGTTAGAGTCAGGGATCTTGGTGGCATATAGGTTAAGCAGTGGGCTACTAAATGCAAGGTCAGCAGTTCAAACCTACCAGTGGGAGAAAGATGAAGCCGTCTGCTCTCATAAAGGTTTACAGTTTCAAAACCTAAGGAGCAGATCTCTGTTCTGTAGGGTTGTTATAAGTCAGAACTGACTTGATAGCCATGGGTTTTTGTATGATTATGAGCCAAGAAATTGCCTTACAAACTCCTAGTTTTCTTCAGTCACTTTTTATATTGTTTAGCTTTGATTCTTCACTGTTCTGGTTGTTTTCTTCTGTGGGAGAGCTATTGTCTTCTCTTGGAATATGGTAGCCAGAACTGGTTGAAACAGTCTAAATATGAATAGGTGCATCCTTTGGTCTTCAAAAATTCTCTTAATGTCGTCAAAGAACATATTAGGTTTTTCAGCTATGTGAGGCTTCAAAAAGTTTATGAAAAATTGGAATTGAAAGATAATGGAATTTTTCCATGATCTTTTTGATGCCCTTTTATATTATACTGTGAGTCATTAAGCTACTGTTGCCCATATCTACTTCATTCTGTCCTTGTGCTTTTTGATTTAGTTGAACACTTAAGTGAAAAGTAGAGGAAATAATGTCATGTAAAAGCATCAAGTGACGTGAATTGCCATTCTGAAAGGTACTGGGTGTGGAATTCATTACCAAGTAGAAGACATGATGACCATGATTAGTAGTCTCCTATCCTTTGCCACAGAGTCCTGGTGTGGCGCTGTGGGTTAATGCGCTAAAATGCAAAGCCGTTTGAACTGCAAGGTCGGTAATTCAAGTTACCAGCTGCTCCTCGGAAACCCTGTGTAGGGGTCGCTATGGGTCAGAATCTACTCGATAGCACTTAGCAACAACAACAACCCTTTGCCACAATTTTTATTTTGTTGTGTGCTACCATATCTTTCACTACACTGTACCTTACTGATTCCCTACCCATATCCTCAACTTGACAATAGTAGGAAAAAACTTGACCCGTGAGCCATGACACCTAGATTCCAGACCAGTTTTGGCATTGGTAAGCCAGTTGACCCTGGGTACTTTTTCATTTGTAGAAGTAGGCCTTTCTGTAAGGAACATAGAAAAATGATAAAAATTATAGCCATAAAACTTGTTACAGTTTACAGTTTTTAGTTATATGATAATTATGAATTGTATTCTTAATTTTAATCTTTATATTGTTGCAAAATAACATATGGGTACAGGTGCTTATATGGCTAACTGTAAAAATAATGAGGGAGGCTTTAAATTTTTTATGGAGAATTGGGATTGAAAGATACTAGAATTTTTCCACGAGCTTTTCAAAACCCTTTTATATGTACTTATTTTTCAAGAATGCATTTTTTTCAATATGGTAATCTTCTATGTATGTATTTAAGAAGAGAAGTAGGGTTTCTTGACTCATGGATTCTGTAAGTAGAGACAAATATAGTTGGGTTTTTTGTTTTATCTTTGAAAGGTCTAAACCATGGAGAATGTGTTTAACTGATATGGTCATGTCAGCTGATCCACAGTTATTAATATTAATAACCAGGAAGTAAGTCACAGAATCAGAAGAGATGGTCAGACATGGAGAGGAATGGTCCCTCAACCTCTGTATGAAAGGGTGTAAATATTCTAGAGCAGCATTTCCAAAATGTACAAGGTAACAGTTTTCCTGATAGGAGAGTAAGGAATGAGTACTTCGATTTACAGGCTTTTTATCTGAAAAGTTTAGAAATTGCATTATACTAATATTTCATACATGTCTTGACATTGGTACCCTAACTTTGTCCTTATATCTGAAAGTTAAATCTCACATATTACGTATTTTCTTAAAAATGATGGGAGTTACGCCATGTACAGCAGTTGAAAGTGGCATCTTCACTTTTTTGTCCCTTTGTTTTGGCCACATTTTATTATGTTGTTGTTATGTGATGTTGAGTTGGTTCTGACCCATAGTGACCCTGTATAGGGTTTCCGAGGAGCAGCTGGTGAGCTTGAACCATTGATATTGCGGTTCAAACAACCTTGTATCCAGTGCATTAACCCACAGCGCCACACCAGGACTCCATATTTTATTGTTGCTATTATTGCTAAGTGCCGTCGAGTCGGTTCCGACCCATAGCGACCCTGTACAGGGTTTCCGAGGCTGTAAATCTTTACAGGAGCAGAACGCCTCATCTTTCTCCCGCGGAGCAGCTGGTAGTTTCGAACTGCTGGCCTTAAGGTTTGCAGCCCGATTCGTAACCACTACGCTACCAGAGCTCCTTATAGTATAATTTAAATGTGCCAGAAGATTTATGTATTATGCTATCTAAAATTAATGCATTCATTCTTCAGCAAATCTTTATTGATTGCATGCTATGTACCAGGTCACTGATCTAGGTGCTAAAATAGACAAGATTGAAGAAATACAGTCTCTATTTTCATGAAGATCATGTATGACTAAGGAGAGACAAATAATGAACAAACAAAATCTGCCAGGCAGCAGTAAGTGCTGGCAAGACATCTATGGCGGTGGTAGTGATTCTCTGCCCTCGGGTCAGTTCCGACTCATAGTGACCCTGCATAGGGTTTCCAAAGATAGTAAATCTTTACAGGAGTTGTTGTAGTTAAGCACCGTGAAGCTGGTTCTGACTCATAGTGACCCTGTACAGGTTTCCGAGGCTGCAAATATTTACGGGAGCAGAAAGCTTCATCTTTCTCCCACGGAACAGCTGGTAGTTTTAAACTGCTGACCTTGAGTTTAGCAGCCTGATTCATAACCACTACGCTACCAGAGTAGAAAGGCTCATTTTTCTCCCTTGGAGCAATTGGTAGATTTGAACTACTGACCTTGTGGGTAGCAGCCAAGTATGTAACCACTATGCTATCAGGGCTCCCGGGAAGACAATTTATATATAGTATAGTACAAAAATCCCCATAATGGACTAATAAATAACATCATGATAAATGGGGGAAAGATTGAAGTTGTCAAAGACTTCATTTTGCTTGGACTCACAATCAACACTTACGGAAGCAGCAATGAAGAAATCAAACAATGTATTGCATTAAGAACATCTGCTGTAAAAAGCCTCTTTAAAAAGTATTCAAGAGTAAAGATAACAATCTGAGGACTAAAGTGAGCCTAACCAAAGCCATGGTCTTTTTAGTCACCTAATATGCTTGAGAAAGTTAGTGAATAAGAAAGACCATAGAAGAATTGATACATTTGAGTTATGGTGTTAGAGAAGAATATTGAAAGTATATGGATTGTCAGAAGAACAAGCAAATCTGTGTTGGAAGAAGTATAGCCAGAATGCTCCTTAGAAATCAGGATAACAAGACTTCATGTTTTGTACTTTGGACATGTTATAAAGAGGGACCAGTCCCTGGAGAAAGACATGCCTGGTATAGTAGTGGAGGGCCCTTGAAAAAGAGAAAGACCCCCCCAGTGAGATGTATTGTCACAGTGATAGCAGCCATGAATTCAACAATTGTGAGGATGACATAGGACTGGGCAGTGTTTCGTTCTGTTGTCCATAAGGTCGCTATGAGTCAGAACCAACTAGATGCATCCAACACCAACAAGGGAATAGAGAATGTATGTAAGGGGAAGGGTGTCCTGTTTTATGTAGATAGTCAGGTAAGAGGGTGACCAGAGATCAGAAGATAGTGAAGGAGTTTAAGCCATGTTAATAATATGGGAGAGCATTCCAGGTAGAAGGAAAACGAAGTGCAAAGACTCTGAGGTATGCTTGGCAAACCCAGAAATAGCAGAAAGATGTTTATGCAAAGGAGTGGACAAGGTAAATTAGTTGGATGTGAGATTGATATTCACAGTACTTTGTAATGTGATTTGAGGTAATCCTGAAAATCTTTTGTACACATGAGGCTCAATGGTGATCACATAACAAAGCACTTAAGAGTGAGTTTAGTCTGTCTTAAAAGTTGAGTTATTTGCTTTCTTTTATATCATCAGACATGTGTTCCAAAGCTTCTGATCTTTTCAGTGATGGCCAGCAAAGATTGATAGGGGATATATTATCTAACAGGTATTTTGATAACAGAAATCTATTTGAATACTATTTTCTGGGGGAAAAGTGACATTTTAACTATGCATATTGTTCAAATATTTGAACAAAACTTGAGCTGTGAAGAGGAAACCATTTTAAAAATGGAAGTTTGAAAATGTTTCCATGCTTGCATTTATTTTTTACTGCAAATGATGCTTG